GTAACTATGCAAAGTAAAGATATGAAAAGTTTACATGTTACTTTCAAAACTGTTAAATCATATAGTCATACAAAATGACAAGCATTTATAACGAATACGAGGAGCCACTAATTTTATTATGTCATAAAAAGAACTTCTCTGAGAAATATAAAATTGACAAATATAAAACTTTCTTTTATATATTAAATTTAATTATCCAAAATCAATTAATGAAATTTTCTTATTTTCATTATTATATTTTATTTTTTATTACATAATTTTATTTATTTTTTATATTTAAAAATAAATAAACTACAATTTATTAATGAAAATACGTAGTTTATAATATGTGGAAATGCAATGCTTCCATAAAATATCATTTATTTACTCAATATTGCATTATGTAGTATAAGGACAGAATTTTATATTTTTTAATAATCCATATATTTTATTTGTGTTATTATATATAATATATATATTTATAATAATTTTCATAAAATAATTTTGTTTTACAGATCTCACTTATGTTTCTTCAGACTCAGATTCTTTTTTTCCCACAACTCCATGTTCCCGGAATTTAGTACATAATGGATCTCCTTCAAATACCAGAAACGAGAGTATACACTTTGTATAGTAGTCTGGCATTAATTCTATATTATTTATAACAGTGGATAAAAGATGTGCCCTATCAACGTGTACTCCTATTTTGAAAAGATTTTAATAAGTATTACAAAATGAATAGATTTTTAAATTAATATGTCATGTAAGCAATAAGCAGAAGATTTATTAATTTTACAAATATAGATGTTGATATATTACCTGAACTTTCAAACATGAGATAGGAAAAATGAACATGTAGATAATAATATGATGGTTGATAATGAAGGTATATCCTAAGTTGAGTCGCAGGTATATTGTACTTTTCAGATATGCATGCTATTCCAGAATCACGTATATTTCTCAATAACGGAAGATGAGATGCATTTAATTCTCTCATAGATCTAACTTTTTGAAATGGAAGAGCTAAAAGTTTAAGTGACTGAGGTTGTCCATCCCATTTCAAATCTGGTACCATTACAAAACCTGTTTCTTTATTTGCATCCTCGTATACAATTTTATCTTGTTCAGCTTTATGGGCTAAAATATTATCTATCCACTGAAATTGATAAAGATAAGAAGTATGAGTTTAAATATAATGCCTTTATTCATTATATTCTATTCAATTTGATTACTAAGCACTATTTTTACTTGATTATATGAATAGGCGTAATGGTTTCACTAATCAAATCAATATATACATACCTCCAAAGAAAATTGTTGTGATGTAATATGAGGTAAAGTAATTTTTTCGTATAATTCATATGTCTCATTGACGATATGTAATTCTTTTTTTTTAAACTTTTCAATGTGTTTCGGCGTAGCAGGATGTATTAACAATACATTTAAACCTTTAATTATAATATACAATTACAGTACAACTATATATATATATATATATATATATATATAATAACATATTTTTCTTTACTAGTATTTTGTTTATCATTTATACAAATCATTCAAATTTAATATATATATTAACTTACCATTATATTTTTTTACTGGAAAACACTTATAATTTCCATAAATATGATTACTAAAAACTTTTTGAATAGTAGTATCTTCATTAAAAAATCCTTCTTTTAAAAAAAGTTCGTCAGTAGGAAAAGTGGTCTTTTCTAATGAAAGAATAGCGGGACTTTCGCTACCTTTGAAAGTGCCTTCGATAAAAATTTGTTTTCTCGTATTATTATTTTGTAAAATTCTTTTCATTTCAAAGGTTGATAAATTGATTTCATCTTCATGTTTGCCATCGTCTGTTTCAGTAGTATTTTCTATATCTAGTTTAAGTTTTTTTGCTGGAGAACACTCTCCTTCGTCGTTATCCAAGTATTGATCCGCCATATTTTTAATAAAACGCGTTCGACGTACTACTTTACGTGCAACACAAACGTTCTTTTACTTAACTACCTGTAATTTGAAACTAATATACTTTGTCAAATTTGTTCTCTTTGATATGAAATAAATTTTAAGTAACACTTAAAATACATCACTATTACCTTTAATATTTTGATACAGTAATCATAACATTGCGATAGTATTATTTGTAGGTTGATATTACTAGATAGTGTAACAACGGTACCGCTTGTTTAATATGCGAAATCACGCGTATGTACGGCCAATCATTTTCGTAGAATAACTCCTACACGTAAGAAAGACCAATCAGGAAAGGGATTAATTAGTATTTTATTCTTTAATTTTTTCAATGATATATTAATAATTATTTTAATATCTACTTTTCTCTCTCATATATTACCACATTATATTCTTGTTGTTTCATTACATGATTATTTACTAAAATATTTAATTACTTTTTATTGATATTAGAAAGGAAATTATTCCTTGTTATAATAAAAATTTATTTCAATCGAGATATTTAATATATCTTTTTTTTCTAGAAATTTAATATCATTATACAGAAAGAATGATAAATATTAATAATAAATAATAATAAATATATAAACAAGACTGACATTATAAAACAATTGTCTTTGTATTGTTAATAATGATGTTGGTTTAAAATTAATACGTTTTTTGTTTTCAATTCAACAAGATGTCAAAGACGATAATAAAAACAAAAGAAAAACAAAGTATTAGTAACAATCAATGAAGAATATCAAATCTAGTAATTTGATTGTGAATCTAGTAATTAAAATGAATATTAACTTCTTTGAAAAATAATTTTTGTTCAATAAAATATTACACTTTGTAAAGAGGTGAAGTTTATTTTTGTAGCTAATGAATGTATTTTTAATCTTGTATAGATATCTATATGCCTTTGGACATAGCTACAAATAAAGATGTCATCCATGCATCGTAGGTACACGGTTTCAAATATTTGGTGACTAATTCAGATTCAGCACAGAGGTTGTTCGCTGACCTTGTTTAAGGATTGAAGAATCAAATATTTCAGGGAAGCTGCATAAAATTAATTTAAAAAATGCTAGAAGTCGATGACAGGAAGGTAAGTCACAACTACGATTATTACAATTATTTTACCTTAACTTGTGAGATGATCATTTTTTATATTAATTAAACTACATTTATACATACAAACATATATACATATATGTTATATATATACATATATGTTTGAAGTGTCTTAAATTGAACGGTTAACCAGTACTTTTAAATATGTTTCCTTTCATAATGTGATATTTATCCAACTAAAATTTATATACACTTTAGAGGTTATCTGCGTTTGGAATTTTATCTTAAGTTATATACAAGAAATCTACGTTTTAAATTTATACTATCTAATTACTTCAATTAAAACGAATAAAATTATAACTGTATAGATATATTTTTGTCCTTGGGACATTTTTGTTTTTGTTAACAAAAAATTCTTAATGTTATCTGCAAAGTGTTTTTCTTCATTTATAAATTAAAAATTGTGTCCATCATTAGGGAGAAATAATTACTTTACTTATTATTACGTTAAGATTTATAGATTATGTAACATTGATTAATTATGTAACGAGTGCTATATAAACACTAAAAGATGATAAGCCCAGAAAGATATTTACTTGGTCTTTTTGCAAAAAATAATCAATTAAATGTCATAATAAATTTTATCAACGAAATAACTATTATTATCGTCTATATTGATATCATTTAATTTGTCTTTTAAATATATATATATACATATTAAAAATTTATTTTTTTCATATAGATATTTTATATTTATAAATTAGTATTTAGGAAAAAGTTGATATTTTTTGTAAACATTTTACACGCATTAATATTAGAAACAATTCGTTAGAATCGATAAGAATTATTCATGAAATATTTCCACACAATTAATGAGTGGAAAACTTATCAACTCGGAAAAAGGAACAAAAATAATTATTAGAAAAGATTGAATAATAAAAATACTTATCATGCAAAATAAATTTCTTATCATGCTTGACGTACATACTTCGAAATATGCATAGTGACATTTGCATTTTTTAAAATTTTTTCAATTTCAAAAGAACACGAATAAATATACGAAGTTACGTTTACTTTTTTTTTATTTCGTTATATATAATTATATAAATTAACTGACCTCTTCTTAATGGATAAAATATTGTATTTTACGTCTGACGATGACAATCATTGTCGTCTGCGGTTTTTATCTTATACGTTGCACAAAGCTGTATATGTAGAACTTTCTATGAATAATTTTTAGTACTATTGTTGGAAGACAGAAACGTAGTTTTTTTTCTTTACGTATTCAGAATAAAATGGCATATTTACTGATATCATACTCACATTATTAGCAAAGTTAATTTTTGAAGATATCGATCTCTTATTTAGTGATATTTTTATTACAACGAATAAAAATTTAATATGCAACTTATAATAATAATAATCCTATCATAGATAATACATAAAATTAGAATTTGCTTAGCATTAGATATTTTATAGAAATAAAAAGAAGAAGAAGATAAACCTCATTGGAAAAATATTTTTAAAACACTACATCTACTGATAAGTTTATCTATACATATTTATGTCGTAATTGGTTATTAACAAAAGTTATATCTTTTGCAATCGAAAGAAGATAACAATCATTTAAGTTTATTAGAATAATTAAAACGATTTTCTATAATAAAAGTCTATTGAAAAGAAAAGTACAAAAGTATTGACTGTGCAAAAATTAGAATTGATCGATTGATTCGAATAAATAAAATTAGAATTATTATATTTCGCTGAGAGAAGTGGATTGAAAGAATCGTGGAAGATCAAATGAAGAGTCAAATGTTGTTTATGATAATTGATATCGCGGTCGAAGATAAGATGACTCGCGAAGAAGGTCAAATAATAAGATAGCTATTATAATGGGGGGGCTCGGTTCATACGATTTTTCTTCATTTTTCATTTCTAAGCCGATTTTGAAAGAACTTCGTACGTTTTAGTTTCTTATATTTTTTTCCACCTCTTCCTCCTACTCTTAAAACGAAGTGATAAGCTGTTCATCGTTACTACTCTCTCATTTAACGCAACAACGTGTTGTGTAGTCGTAGATTAGCTTCGTTGGGAGTACAAGTTCGTCACGTGTGTCACACTGTCGTTCATTCCTTCATATATTCCTGTCGTGTGTGGAGTAGTATACTTCTTCTAACTTGTGTCGCATTGTGTCATAGTCATCGTTGCGTCACTGCACTTTCTTGAAGGCATTGAACAAAAAAATAATATATTTTTCATTACGAGGAAAGAACGTCAAAGAAAACACGATGATTGAGTATCTTTTACAAGTAAGCTTCATGACTGCTTGAAATTATAATTTTGATTTTATATACGGATCGTTGATATTATTTATAAGTATGAAAAGAGAAGCTTTGACGTTTTCGTTTCATTAATCCTCTCCATTCAATTTTCTCTACGTCTTGTCCTATACTTGTAACAAATTGTTTTTATAATTATAAAGTATCTACATCAATGAATACAAAATTATATCGAAATTGTAAATAATTATTGTTGTCACGTTAGAAATAATGTTTTATAATAAGTATTGGTATTATCGTCTCACAAGCGTTACATAGAAGTTCAAAGAATTAATATTTTTTATTCTAAAATTTTGTTTTCTTTTCCCATGGATTTTTGTAAATCGCCAGGTTAATTTATTCGCATTTACATATGCAAATATTCATTCTCGCGTCACATTTTCCTTTGAGAAATATTATGAACGAAGAAATTCTTTTCTTTTTCTTTTTTTTTTTTTTCAAACGTACGCTTACAACATTTTCTCATTTATTTCTCCCGCTTAAATGGCGCGCGATACTTCTAATCTTTTCTTGCGACACATATTTATGCGTTCTACTTCTTTAAATCTCGCGAACAAAATTATTATACGTGCTTAAAAGTTTTTTTCTTTTAAATTCTCATATCGTTAAAGCATTATTCGCATAATCGCACATCGATAACTCGTATCTTGATCGAAAAGGTCAACTGTTTAGCGTTCTAGTTCAAATGAGTATTTAAAAAACAAGAATTGCTTTATTTGCTTAATAATATATCCTAAATCTAACTGAAGTAATCAAAATAATTGTTAAATAAGATCATGTTATACTATTTAATAAAATAATTGATTTAAAACTAATATTAATTGTAATATATTATAACGAAATTATTCACATATTAACCCTTCTTTGCATGATTTTTTCTTTTTTTTTAAATAAATCAGGGTGATGTAATTAATGCTCTAGATTAAAGGAAAAATATTTTAAAAAATCCTAGTGCTATTTTTTGACAACTGCGTTTTGTTGTACGCAATAGTCGCTTAAAAAGTTGCTAGCAACAACAAATATACAGTACAAGGGTTTTGCGTACCTTTTTTTGTTGACTAAATATTATGATTGAAATTTCCATCATCATGCAAAGAAGGGTTAAATTAATTACTAATTTAATACTAAATTAACAATAAAAAAGAATTTACTTAGTTAGTGCATGCATATATATTTTTATCATGTAAAAAGAACTAGTATAACATTGGTGATATATAAAATATATGTTTTTTTATCGTGAGCATTGAAGTGCTTATCAATTACTATACAAAATATGCACGTGTTAATCGTCTTCTATTATATAATATAAATTGACGTATTACGCGAGAAAAATGATCATTGCTTGAAATATTTTATAGATAAACAAAAAATCAAATTCGTAATATTCAAGTATAATTGTAATTCTTACAAACTTCTTTTGAATTGGATATTTAAATTCTCACATTTTAATTAATAAAATAATGTTTACTCATTGAGAAAATTAAGTTAACTTGTATATGTAATTTTGCTATATGTACTCGTATAAAAGTATTTTTAAAATCGTGTGTGTATATATAAATCAGATAAAATAAATGTAAGATACGTGTCGCTCACATTACACACAATCACACGACACACAGAGTCATTGAAAATATAGTAAAAGTTTTTATGAATTGAGAAACATTTGAATGAAAAAACAAAACTATTTACTATTCTTATTTATAGTGACATAGTTACGAATATATGCTCTTAATTTTAACGACATGCTCTTATAAAAAAATTATCTTATTGCAACATACCAAGAATTTTATCGAATTTTGATAATAATTACACTAATTATTATTATTATTTTTGTTTGTTTTTATTTCTATAAGCTCTTTATACATATAAAACTAACTTATAATATTATTTTACTGCGCTATTTTTTATAGCGTATTTTTAAACGATCATCATGTGCGAAAATTTGTGCTTAAATAATTATTATAATAAGGCTACTGTGATATTCGATTATATGAAGACGAAAGGTAATATTAAATTGACTTTTGTGGTATATTATTTAATTAAAAATCGTAGGCACGTGGTCATCAACGTAGTTCTTCAGATACACAGGCATTTCGTCAACGAACTAAGATAGATGCCGAGAATGAATTGCAACAGGAATTAAACAAATTGGTTGATACCGCTCCCCCAAATAGGAGAGAAGAATTTGCTCGACAATTCGATGGATTTGCGAATCTTTTTAAACGATTTTTAGAAGAAGAAGGCCCATCTCTAGAATGGGATGGTATTCAAAAATTACCGGAACATGCTGTATGTGATCACATTTTTTATTCAGAGCATTTTTCTTATATTCGAGATATTTGTAATTTAATATTTTCATTTGTACGTTTATTTATTTTTAGATACATAATTACAATAGCCTTTCTGATCCTAATAATGAAGAAGTCAAGGCTATGTTAAATAAATTAATAGTTGTTAAATTGAATGGTGGACTAGGTACAAGTATGGGATGCCATGGACCAAAATCAGTAATAGCAGTTCGCAATGGATTGACATTTCTTGATTTAACTGTTCAACAAATCGAGGTAGATATAATTATTTATAAATAATAGTTATAATTAATGTTACTTTTATCTTTCAATAATAAACATCTAATCTGAGGTATTTTATATTTGAACAGTACTTGAATAAAACATATAATGCGAATGTACCACTTGTTTTGATGAACTCATTCAACACAGATGAAGATACTCAACGAATCATCAGAAAATACAAAGGGATAGATATTGATATTCATACTTTTAATCAAAGTTGTCATCCTCGCATTAATAGAGACTCGTTTCTTCCTCTTGCACAACATTGCAATGTAAATGAAGATATGGAAGCGTATGATTTTATATATTTTCTATAACCACCTATTTCGTAGAAAATAATATTATATTAAATATTAAGACATTTGTATTTACAGTTGGTATCCTCCTGGTCACGGAGATTTTTATGAAAGTTTTAAGAATTCTGGTCTACTGAAAAAATTCATTAAGGAGGTATTATATTTGATTGAAATTTATTATGTATATATATTCATTTTTTAATTTATATAATATCATTTATGTTTAATTATTATTTGTGTGTAGGGTCGTGAATATTGCTTTATCTCGAATATTGATAACTTGGGTGCGACTGTAGATTTAAGAATTTTGAAATTGCTGCTAGATAAAGGACACAGTTCCTCTCCAGAATTTGTTATGGAAATAACTGATAAAACAAAAGCCGATGTCAAGGTAAGTTTTATTATTTTTATATATATAAATCAAGTAATTAATAACATCTCTGTTTGATGATATTATACAAATTTGTCTACGTCAATTAATTTTGTTGACAGGGTGGAACCCTTATTCAATATGAGGATAAACTTCGACTTTTAGAAATTGCACAGGTTCCTAAAGATCACGTAGATGCTTTTAAATCCGTGAAAACATTTAAATTCTTTAATACCAACAATCTCTGGGTTAAACTTGATGGTATAAGATAATTTATGTTACAAAATTATTATGTATCATTAAATCTTTTATGTTTGCAATACATTTTATATATGTTTTGTAGCTATTGAAAGAGTTTTGGTAAATAATTCGCTCAATATGGAAATTATTGTTAATAACAAAACGCAACCTAATGGTTTAAACATTATTCAACTTGAAACAGCTGTGGGTGCTGCAATGAAATCTTTCGAAGGAAGCATTGGTAAGTAAAGGAAAAGATGTACTACTAATATATTTATGATTATTTATAATTATAATTTGTAATATCTTTCGTAGGTATAAATGTACCACGTAGTAGATTCTTACCTGTCAAAAAAACGTCTGATTTAATGCTTGTCATGAGTAATCTTTATATACTTCGTAATGGATCTTTAGTAATGAGTCCACAACGAATGTTCCCTACAACACCTCTTATAAAACTAGGTGACAATCACTTTTCAAAGGTAGATTTACGTTTTATTCATTTATGGATGTTCTAAATAATTATTAATTAAACATTAGATGTAATAAAATTCTATTTTTTGTTGTATAGGTAAAAGAATTTCTTACTAGATTTCCAACAATACCAGATCTTTTAGAATTAGATCATTTGACAGTATCAGGTGATGTAACATTTGGTAAAGGCGTTGCCTTGAAAGGTACTGTTATCATTATTGCTAATCATGGAGAACGTATAGATCTTCCATCTGGAACTATCTTGGAGAATAAAATAGTTTCTGGAAATTTACGTATATTAGATCATTAATACAGATTCACATCTATCTTGATAGACTTGCACAAACTACTGAAGCACACATAACTGCGAATGCTTTCCTGATATTTTAGATGAATTTAACTAGTCAAATAAGTTTGTACATAAGGGTATATCAAATGAGATTTTACAATTTTTGAAATTAGAGAATCTGAAATGTATGTAAATGAAATGATTGTAAAATATAAATGGCTTGATGCAACAATAAATTGTTTTTCTTTTTTCTACAAGATGCAACAACAACAAAAAATACTTGAATGCTTCGTCAGAAGAATTTCCAATTTAAAAAAAACGAAGGTCACCTTATATGATAAAAAGGTAATGTATGTTTACCACAGTTGTTTTGGGAAATCTTTGAAATACTAATTGTAAGTTATTATAGAAAACGCATATGATGTAGAGAGCGCATATGATTTGAACTGTTAACGTTAATTAAAAAAAAATAATATGTATATGCGATGTATATTAAGAATTATTTTACAATTGCTGTTCACGACATCGATAAATTTAAAAATTTAATAGAGTCATACATGCAACATACTTTATATTTTTGTCCACAAGTCACTTTCCAATAATATTGACTTTACTATATTTAGATAAGGCGTGTTTATATGTTATATAGTTTGGGTTTAATTTCTTTAAAACGATGGTTAAAACAGCTGACTGTAGAGTTTTCTATTGAAAATCTTTCATCTGAATTCGCTTTAAATGCATTTGAAAAATATATCTGTAAAACTTTCTCTAACTTTCAATCGACAAATTTATAATTCGATAATTCGTTTTGAAATTATTTCGTCAATAGAAATCTATTTAAATGCTTACGAACATCTTTTATGCAAGTTACTAACATTAATGGATTACATTTCGAACTTATAGATTGATTGGTCGGTATTGGTCAGTGAGGATAACGTAGCCAATCAATGACCTCAAAATTAAGTGCATTACCACATTAAAAAAAAAAAAAAATTTATAAGATGCATTGTAATCATTCGTAATACAACAGCAGTTAGTAAGTAATTGTAAAGTTTAATGAAAAGTAATTACATGATACGTAATGCAACTCTGTGATATAATTTTTACGAATAAAAGAAAGTTTTACCGATAAACGTAACATAGTGATTAGAAATATTTTGCTACCTTTATTTTATTTTATCTAATTTTGTATATGAGTCATATCGAAATTAAATAATATGTAAATAAAACGTTTACGCTTATATTAATAATAATAAATTTGATGACTAATTATTAACTAAACGTTCAGTTTTTATATACTGACTGTATTAAAACGCATACCATTAAACGATAGTAATGGTGCAAGGACACATATCAAAGATTCAATTTCAAGTAGTTGATGATGACTTCTAAGCAAAATACAGGAAAAATAACATTAGGTATGATTAAAGGTAAGAATATTATTTAGAAACATTATTGTAAAACTTAATTATTCATTGTTAATTAATGCCGATGAATTGTTTTGAAATAACTTTATTCTCCATATTGCATATGGTCAATCAAGTTTCCAATATATAAGTAAACTTGTAATATAAATCTGATAAATTTAATTAGTCTTGATGCTTTTGCAAAAAAATGTCAATGTTTGCTGCATTACATATTTTAGTAAATTTCACAACTTTGTCATACCTAAATAAAATGTATATTCTTTTATGAAGGTAAACCATTTACCACATCTGTTCCAATAATACATTATCATGCAAGTGATGATGAATTGGAAGAACTATATCTTAGTACAGATGAAGAAAAACAAGATTTGGAATATGAAGAAGTCTCATCTCAATTATCTTTATCTCCATCAAAAACTCCGGACAAAAAAACAGATAAAGAAAAAACGGAAAGTAAATTAGATCAAAGGTCTTCTAGTATCGATGGAAATATATCTGAAGGAACATCTCAATCTTCTGATCCTTGGAGAGTATTATCAGAGATCAAAGGTAAAATTACGAAAACGTTTGAAGAAAAACTTCACGAAATAAAAAGTGAACACAAAAAAGCATATAGAAATAGTAAAGAAAATTCAAGTATCAGTGATTCAGAAGATTTAATAGATGTAACACCGATTGAAAAAACCATTACTGATAAACAAGAGAAAGAAGAAGCTTTCCCAATTGTTGATATAAAAGAAGATAGTAGCAGATTTATTGGTTTCTCTAATATAAAAGTTGGTATTAAAACAAAAAATTCAGAAGAAGATAGCATTGAAAGTGGAGTAGAAGCTGCTGAATTGAATGAAAGTTTTCCTAATGGAACAGATGACAAAACACAGAGTAATCCACCAGATATTAAATGTATTGATATAAAAGATAATGATAAAAAACTGCATGATACGTTAAATCAATCATTATTACACACTATCCTGTTTTCACCTAGGACAGAACCTAAACCAACATTCGCATGGCTTAAAAATGAACTACTCCATCAGTTGTTTCATCGAATATTTGTTTTTATTATGGTAATCGCTTCTTCTTATTACCTTATTCCATTTCCGGAGTATATTCTTGGCTTTGTCGGGGGTGTATTCACATCTATTATAGCATATGATACAGTAGCAAGCATGAAAAAAATATTAAAAACTGTACCAGAAGGTAAAAAAATATCAACACATGAGGTTCCAGTTGTAGAAATACCTGCAGTAGAGGAGCACGCTGTCTTAGAAAGATTTGAGGGATGGTTAAATGAGTTACCATACTTATATGATCCACAAAATTATCATGTGGCACGCACAAAGTCTGTTTATTTTAGACTAGAAGGTGATACTTTGCGAATAATGGAAACAAGAATGAGAATACCAAAAAGGGCTGTTTGGGATGAACCAAAGCACAAACTCAAGTTTACCCGGAGAAGAACTTATAGCTTGGCTGGTGCAAAGATAGAATTACTTCCTGAAGGTCTTATTAGAAGAAGGTATACTCGTGACTTGTAATTCAAATTTAATAGAGTATTGATATCTATTGGACTATACATGGTACTGAAAATTGGTCAAGTGAATAAATAATTGATATTCGTACGACCTATTTAGAACACCTTTTTCTAATTGGTAATTACTTCGTAGTTACAGGCAGTAGTCATAAAAACAGTCCAAATTATTCATATTACGATTATTCCTTTTCTTCCTTAGTTTAAAAAATACAAAAAAAACCTTTCTATTTTATGATAAATGTCTATAAATATCGCCATTTTTATTATACAGGAGATGGAGCAAAAAGTACCCAATTTGTATTACGATAGAAAAGGGAGCCCTAGTTGAAAATGTTGCCTTGAAAGACTGTTATAACAAAGAAACTAATGCTTTTAAAAATAATAAACAAAAGATTATAGAGGAAGACGTAGAAAATCAGGTATATAAAAAAAAAGATAAAGAAGATAATAAAGAGAATGAAGAACAGATAGAACAAGAAGTCGAAGATGAAATAGATGAAGAGGAAGATGAGGATGAAACCGATGAAGATTTTACACAAACGCGAAATCTAAAAAATTCTTTAATAGGTCACAGCGAGAATGACCAAAATGATATATGCAAACTATTTATTTTTGCAAGAGCTGATCGTCAAAAAGAAGATTGGTAATATATATATATATATATATATATAATCACTTTTACTATAATACGAAATTATTATATTTATATTTTCATTCTATATTATTAATCATATAGGTATAGACGTTTGGTCACTGCAGCAAACTGTAAAAAAAGAAATTCTATTTCAACAATGAGTGATAGTTCCAATCCATCTCTGTCGCAGCAAACGATTGTTAATGAATCGAAAGTTCCAACATCGCCTAGTCCTTCTTTTGACCGTCCTCCGGAATTCAATTACAATACATACATGAGTCAGTACCTTGATGTAAGTGTAAAGAAATATGTTGCAAAGAAGATACAAATTATTATACATGTTTTTTAAATGGATACAATTTAAAATAATGAATTATTTTAGACTGTTACAACAACTCCGAGTTCTGAGATTGAATCTCCTATTCCTATATATGATATGATGTGGCTCAACTGTTTATTAGGTCGTATATTGTTTGACATGCACAAATGCTCCGATACTATAAATCTTATTCAAGACAAAATTCAACGAAAACTTTCGAATATAAAACTACCATATTTTATGGAGAGTTTAACTGTGTCGGATATGCTCATAGGTCAGAGAGCACCGTTTATTCAAGATACGTCAAAGCCAATAATAGATGAACGAGGACTTTGGATAGATCTGAATGTATTATACAAGGGATGCTTAACTATGACTATCGAAACAAAATTAAATCTTATGAAATTAACCAGAGCTGGTTCTATGTCTAGTAATTCTAGTGATGTGATAGCTGGAGAAAAATCTAAGACAATAAGATCTCCTATGTTTGATAGTGATGTAGAAGATAGTCCAGAAACGTCAACGGAAGAAGAGGATAAGTCTAATATGACAATGTGTACAACATCAAAAGATACACCGTAAGTCCTTTTTCTTATTAATAGTTAAATCTACTTTTTTATCAAATCTAATTACTTGGTAAGTTGATCTTTTACAGTTCCACCCAGTCTTCGGGGAGAAAATTTCTTAGTATGGTAGATAGATTGGCTGCAAGTAAATACTTTCAGCATGTAAGTATATTTCTGACAAATATATTTTAACAATAGAAACAACATTATTATAAACTAAATTACATAAAGAACAAAAAATTGATATCTATATATATATGTATATAATTTATTTTTCAGGCAACTGAACTATCTTACGTACGTAAAGCAATTGAAGGTGTTTCTAATACTGAAATTCGATTAACGGTCAGTGTATCTGGCATAGAAGGCTGCTTATCTATAAACATTCCTCCACCGCCTTCTGATCGGCTTTGGTATGGTTTCAAGCCAAGACCGAAAATTTCGATTACTGTAACACCTGCCGTAGGTGAAAGAATAGTAAATATCGGTTATGTGACCAAGTGGATCGAAACCAAATTACTCCGAGAATTCGAAAAAATTGTTGTTTTACCGAATATGGATGACCTTATTATATCATTATGTCCAAATTATCCTTATGCTACAACGTAAATTTTTATGGACGCGATGTATGTAATAAGCGCAAATGTATTCACAAGATGTAAATTTTGCATAGAGTTTTAAATTCGATGTCTATATTTTATTACTGTACAATTATAAAAGGTATTAGTAATGTTATATTCAAAGAAACGTTTTAATTATATACAAAACAAAAAAGAAAGTAAGAAAGAAAAATATGATCTGTAATTAGTCCACCTTGAAAGTTTATAATCTATGCAAAAAGTATATATTTCTAAAGAGCAACGGTAAACAATAAGTATGATTTTAGAAAAATAATCAGTATTGTATCGTAGAATAAAATACGTATATAGATATATATATTTTTTTTACTAAAATAATATTTTATATTAAACTCTCATTAAATTTACAAAATTAACAGATGCTTTTCATTACTCATTAATAATTAGAAGCAGAAGTCATATGTACATTTTCAAGGTGGAAAAAAATAAAAAATTAATAATTTTCGAATATTTGTTATACAAAAATAAACCACAAAATTGAAGAATCAACAATGGTACAGCTCTTTTACGTGTATATATTTGTATTACTCATTGAAACTCGACTTAAAAGTCGTGATAGTAAGCGTGTTTGCTATAAAATAATACCTCCGTGCTACTTGCAGTTAAAGGAAATTGGTCGAGTGAAAGTCCGAACATAGAAATGTTTCTACACGAGCTTGTAAAAAATAAAGAACGATTTCTCGGATGTATTTATAATAGTATATAATGATTTGTGCACGATTCTTTTGACGTTATTATTCGTCTGTATATATATATATGTTTTAAAACAATAATAACGTCTTTTTGTGGCGATTTCACCTTTGTAATTTACTTTTAATTTGTATTAGTTCCTTATTATGAAATAATGCAATTAAAGATCTGTCGACTGTGTTAAGTTCAAAGCTATAACGATACCGTATGTAATGCAAAACAAAAAGAAAAAAAACAATAAATGAAAAGTAAATGATTATCAAAGCGAATATATGAAAAGTGATCATAGCTACGCAGCGGAAGTTCTCGCGTAAAGGAAAATAAAGTTCCTTCGCGTATACAGAAGCGAGAGTATGTTTCTCTCTTTTTGCTCTTCTATTACGTACGACGTTAAAGATGACAAACAGGCTAGTTTAGTAAAAATTTATTGATTAAGATAATATATACGTCACGTTATTCTTCCTTCTATAAAAGAATAATATCACAGTTTAGAGATCTTGCGCACGAAGTACACTTACTCGTGTAAGTCATGTACATCGTATAAAATATATATTCTATATATATAGATAAAAATATATATCTTATATATAGATACAGATAAAAATTGTAAATTCTTTTCAATATATCTTTGAAAATTAACCCGGTAGTGTAAGTAAGCACACACTTATAAAAAAAATATAAATAATCTCTAAGATAAATCGCGTGATTTTCTATGATACATTATCGAACGATGTGCAGCATAAACACGTTTATCTTTTCTTACGTTTCTTACGTACATCATAAACATATAATATTAGCACTGTGCTTACTTAAACTACTTTTTGAAACTTCGGGACGATTCCGATATCTAGTAATGAAATATAAGCTTTATACATATAATTGCAATGATAAGAAGAAGTTGATGAAAGCATTTTAATAGTCTCTCAACCGCTAGCTTTTTAGCAGACACGGTGCAGTGATCGATTCACGCACGACTTCCGCCCAAGTTTCTAGTCTTGGTGCACAAACAAGCGTGAGATCGTCGAGTCTTCTACGAGCCATTATTACAAATTCTCCCTGGCCATGACGAGCGTCACAAGCAGAAGATACTCTTATACGGATGCTCTTTTCGAGATGAGGATTTGGAAGAATGGAGAATACCTCGTTGGTCTGTTAAGAGACAAGCAAAAACAAGAATAAATACATGAGACTGTTAATCCTAATATATAAGGATAATACTTATTTACACTTAGAGAGAACACACGTTCTAATTAGCAGAAATCTTTTCTTTAAACATATCTTACAAAATTGATGACAGACTTGATTTAGAAACAATTTAAATCTACATATGAGCCGTTTATTTTAGGAAAAAAATGAGTTAATGATATTTATGGTTGCAATTCTACATCTGATTTTTATATATATATATATTTACACCACTTTTAAAATAATCGGCTCACATACGTATACTATAATATATTAAAGGACTGTGTCATTTACATATGGATCAGAAATATTCTTCTTATTCGGAAACTTATACTTTAAATGTACACAAGACAAGACTATTCCGAGTGAAAAGACTCTGCTTTGAACAACGAATCGAATTTTTGTTCAGGGGGGTTTCGATTTGAAAAATGTTGACATTCCAAATCTATATAAAGAAACAAGTATTTACCTCAGTTTCCTCAACTCTGTGAAGAGTTTTCGTTATCCTAAAAATTAATTCGGCAGCTTCGAGCTCGGGTTTCCTTTGTACAGCAGTGACGGTACCTCTACCAACAAAGTCACTCTGACAGTAAGCCTCAGCTAGTTCCTTCATTGAACAAGGTCTACATTCCGCTTCCTCGTCTGACTCGTCCGGCGTGCTATGATTAATAACGAACGGTTCTACGTCGTATTGTAACTTAGCGCGATTATTATTTGCGGTTAATTCGTCTGCCTCGACGTAGAGAGCTGTACGTTGTTTTTTTGTATAAAAACAACGGTGAGACGCTTCGTTTTTTCCATCGCGCGGCGAGTAAACTGGCCTCAGCGTACCGTTGCTTTCCAAATATATCCTTGTTGGGCCTGATGCCTTAACGCAAACGCGAAAACCGCTTGATCCGGAATTCGATTTGGGCCCAATTTCATTAACTCTCTTCCCATTTGCCAATGGAACACTTTTAATACCAGATCGAGATCCAATAGCTGAACTGCTTATTACCGCACCCACTGATAAAACTATCCTCAAGGCTCCTCGAGGATAACGCCATAAAACGGTCCCTCTTGAACATCGAAGATAAACGGGTCGTACTCCCCGGCCACCTCCACCACTAAAATAAAGACAAACGTTTTCCCTTTTTATTTTACACATCGACACATTTTTTTCATCTTTTTTCTTTCAATATTTGTGACTCAAGTATGTTTGATAAAAAATGAAATCATTAAATGCTATGTAATGTAATGTAAGATGAACGAATATGTTTCTTATCCTTATTTTAATATTATCTTTTAATTTTAAGACATTTAATAATAATAATAATAAGTTAAACCTATATTGGTAATCATTATATTTAAGTGAGACATAGTCGCATCGATCGCAAATTCATTACAAAAAGTTCATCATACGTTCATTATTATATTGCATATAACTCAACCGATGATAAAAAATCGTCTTTTATATTCAATCAAAAATGGTATACATTACATCCAGAAGATAAGATAACCCGAATATGTCTGTTTAAGTTACAATGGGCGTATGCATTTACCTATAGTTGCTGCAGCTCGCAAACTACATATCACAATTTGATCTGTGTTTAATAATTAAAATTGTTCAATGTACAACCTATATTTATATTATTAAAACAAAAATAAGTTTTATCGAGAGTGTTTCTAAATTCATTTGATTTACAACGGCTGGTCATTTGTTTTTATTTAAAAATTTGTATTAAAACAAATAGAATGCCTGATACGAAAAATGAAATAGACAAATAAAAAAGAACAAAAAAAAATGATCTCTCTTTAGAGGAGACACTGTATGTACCACCCCAAACTCCTTAATTCTTACCCCTTCTTCTTAATATCAATACTTTATTTTTTATCGGTAACCCAAAACTATTGCTTATTTAAACTGGGTATATCTCTTATGCTTAAATTTAAAAGTTTATCTCTTTATCTTATCGTATATAAAATATTATACATTTAGAAAGAGAGAGAGAGAGAGAAGGAGGCATTCCCGGATAAACCGGAATAAGCATAAAAATTGAGAATGTCCAAGGACGGTCCTACAAACGAAAGCAACCTAGCTAGCTAGCTAGCTATCTGGAGACTCCAGTTCAGCTGAGAAGTGTGTTCTAAATACGGAACGTATATATACCTATATATATATATATATATACATGGTAGAAAGAGAAGAGAAAATACGTATGGTTATAGGAAGAAAGAGAGATAATAAAGTAGACTGGTCTCTGTATAAAAAGAGAAAAAGAGAATAAGGCAGAATATAACATAAGAAACTAATATAACAGAGAGAAAGAGAGAGATAAGAAGAAGAAGGCGTGGAATGGGCCACGCGCCTCTCTTGTAGCCATAGTCAGTGCTGTTTTCTCGTGCGGCTACCATGCTCACTTACCCTCTTTTAGAGACAGGACTGACACGTACGGTAAAGCAGAACGGTATGTATAGACACCACAGAACCGGGCAAAGGGTTTCCCCCCTTTCCTCGCCTCTTTGTCGCAGAAGCGGAAACAGGTTTCCGTAAGGCATACACGACGGGTCTTAGCATTCTGTTAAGACCAACGACTTTTCTTTCCTCTCTACCTCCCAACCCCAATCCCCACCTCACCCCATCTCCAATTCCTTTTATATTCCACTAGACAAGGTAACATGGACCGATAATTCTCTATTTCTCTTTTTAAGCTCGATGGTAAGCGGCATAGGTGAAAAAGTTATTACCACCACCACCACCACAACCACCACCATCGCTTATTTCTAATCGCAGTTTCTATTTGCCAGTTTTATGAACCGAAACGGTATTCGAGAGTTGTATACGAAAAGAGATCGACATTTCTCCCCAACCCTCTCCTCTCCCATTCAAAACCGGATAAGAATTTCTGCTTCCACTATAGCTACGGATACAATTCTTGAATCCGTTATATTAAATGTCCGTGTACGATATAACGTATTAAATATATTGATGTGTTACTTTGTTAAATCCGCTAAACTCGCAAATAATTATATTGATCTGTTTAAATATAAAAAAAAGGTAGAATTACGTATTTCTATTAATTGTAAGTGATATATTGTATAGTTGTAAAAGTAATAGTTAAAGTATGAGATTTGGTACCAAGTATAAGTTGTAAAAATCCAGAGACAGAAATTATGTGTTTATTCGTTTTATGGCTTTCCAAGAGAAAGTTATCTAATCTCGAGATAGAGTTTCTTCTATTGATTTAAGAGATTAAATTAGAATTCCTTCTCGAAAACTATGAAAATAAAAATAAAATAACAAAAATAAATGCAAACAACGATATTTCGTAGATACGTTCTTATCTATTCCCCTTTCTTGATAACAGATTTTCTGCTAAATCGTGCTGTCTCATCCGACTTTAAATTTACCAGCTAGGTTGAAACAAAAGTGAAGAATATTTTTTCATCCCATACTTTAAACTACTCGTCTCTTATAAATTCATATATATGATAACTTGATTATTTATTTCCTAAAAACAGCTATTTTTTGTGTATAATAAGTCTAACAATTCATTACATCTACAAAGTTTACAAATTGAATGCCGACATTTATATATTTTTGCATAACGCAATGAACAATACAGATATAATTCTATAAGAAAAGAAACGGCGGCTAGCTAGCTAGGTTGTTTCATCTAGACGTAAATATATCCTAAGTAATGTACGCGTTCATTCTGACGTAAAAAGCACGTGGGCGCGTGGATAACGATCTCGAGGAACGATCAAATAAATCTCATTCTCCTTCTTCCTCTTTCTCTCTTCTTCTTGGAAAGCTTCTTTTCAGCAAGCAACGTGTCTGAACCACTTCTTCTCATTTTTTTTTTCATCTTTCTTTCTTTCTTTCTTTCTTTCTGTACGAAGCAATCACGACGAGTTTTAGAAAAGAGACTGTCCTGACAAAGTGTCTTGAATTACCGTAAACCTTTTCGAGCGTGAATTCGGCGGCATCTCGAGTTTCAGTCTTACAGTGTTTCATGTAAACGCCATGGTTGTTAGCATCAAATACTACCCGTATGAATAGAATGTCGCATAATCTGCTTAAAAATATTCTAAATATATAAAGCGTTATCTGGTCAATAATGTGTAAATATATATATATATATGTGAGACGTTCATGGGTCAAAATAATTAACTCCACTTTTAGAATTTTTATTCATTTTAGTGGCAAAGTACTTGATGGATAGTTAACTTTTGATATTTAAAAATACATTTCTTTAAAAATAAGACTTAATATCATTGAATGACAAACATTTTTATAACCATTGAATAATAAATGATATGACAATATGTATTTAATTTTATCAATTTTCTCTCTATTTTTTCTTTTGTGAAATTAATCAATTTGGTAAATGAATATCTCATATAAAATATTTTACATATATATTTATATATATATAAATATATATAAGAACGCGGATATTCAGTGACGTCACTCAACGTTATAAGACTTGAAGTCATGGGCGGGTTTATGGAGAAATGGCAACAACCGGATTTTTAAACCGTTCTCGAAAAAACGTACCAATATATAAATATATAATAATATATATGCAACAACACACACACACTGATTCTCTATGAAACATTTCTAAGAATAATGGTATTGAATTCAAATTCGATTATTGAAAGAAATAATTTATTTAAATATTAACTGTAACAACAAAAATTCCAATATTACTTATTATTGATCAGGCCAATATATGTGTAATGATGTATGCATATACGAGTAAGTCTGATGTACAATGAGTAAGAAATGAATATAAAAGCATATATATATATATGTATACGTTCACGTGTATATGTATGTGTAAATACAGAAGTTCGCAGAGTCCTTCGCACTCCCGCTCGTCTGGTTTAGCCTTCCTCATGAATTTCATTCGATTCGATGCATACTTTCGCGCTTAGCCACGCCACCGACAACACGACGATGACGACGACGACAACGACGACAAAGTTGCAGACGGCTTTTATACTAGTTTTCTCGTCATAGCAACCTTTGATATTACGACCTCGCTCATAATCTTTCTAGAGTGATCGAACGGTTTAACGTAGCAATAATAAGTATCTTATTCGCAATTCTGGTTTTACGATAATGTTTTGCAACGATCATATTGTTTCTTCAATCGGATTAACCAACCGTTTGAAATAAATTATTATTTCTATTTATATATATAAAAAATTTATTAAAAATAATAACATAATTAAAATAATACGAATAAATCTGATTTGAATATAAAAAGATAATAAATGTAATTTGGAATCATGATGTTTTATTTGAATATAAACGAATTAATTAGGTAGGTGTTATTATATCAAATTTTGTATCTAGAATGTAATAATTCGTGAAAGAAAATATATATAATTAAAAAACAATTAATTTAAATGTTAAATAAAATGTAGAAAATAAATCGGTTGTTTATGAAAAATCCACTTTTGATTTCGATAACAAAATTGATAGAAAATTGTGAGAGAAAGAGAATTCAATTCATTGCTGAACGAACGATAATAATTAATAATGAATAATTATAAATAATTAATCCAAATATTAATTTGTGGGAGGCACGCGCCAAATCCGCAACCATGTTTATGATATGACGTCCTACCTGCAACTGTCTCGAATAGTTTACATCTCGGAGAAAAAAGTAAACATAATATGAAAGGATAGAAGTAAGGATAGAAGTAGGAATAAACATAGTTCGATCTTGAAAAAAAGTCGATAACGATTGTTTACCAAATTTCTTTTCGTTCACATTCTTGCAAAAAGTAGACTAACGGTAAAACGGATATTTAACAGAACGATTCTCGACTCGATAATCGAATTGAAGCAAAAACGAATCACTATAATCCAGATCAGAGAAGGAAGAACTAGAGCAAACTCATAACGGTTATAAACGACAGTATTTCTTTTTTATTGTACTTTTTTCTCTCAATTATAATTCTTACCGTCCAACTGTTTGTTATTAATGATAAATGATTCTACCAAAAATGTGACAAATTTCGATCAGATAGTATATTGAATTGTTGGTTAAATCTTATACAATTTGTTTTTCCATTTAATTTACAGTAATTCGTGTAATCGAATTATACAAGGATAGGCAGTATTTTTTATAATTATAACATAATTAATATTTAAATAATTCATGTATATATGATAAAATGATTATGTTTTTCAATCTATTTTATAAAGAAACCAAAATGCCTTTGGAAAAAATAAATTGGATACACAACAAATTGGATTGACAACAATTTGATTCAAAAAGAAAGATGAATTAAGAATTGTAAAATAAAATGTAAAGATACATATCCAAAAGCCATCACCAAATAAGGTGGTTTACGATGCCAAGGAGAACAACATGCTAGGCAACGGAATCGCAGGAGGATAGAAAGAGATGAAGAAAAGGTAAAAAAGAATGAGTTCGAGTGAAACCGAGCGAATATACACGAAAGGAGATCGCGAAAATCGGTAGCGCGGGAAGAAGACGAAGGACGAAAAAAAGGGCGAAGGGAGTCGAAATGAAAAACAGTACTAACCTTCCGATCCAATCGCATTCGTCAGCAGGTAGAAGAGTGGCATGCTCTTGCGACGATACCGTAGGTATACCACCTAGGATGACGACAAGGGATAGTATTATCGCCGCAAAACCAAAAGGTCCGATTAGTTTCATTTTTCTTTTCCCTTCGAATATTTTCCTTTGTAGGGTTTTTCTTTTTACTTTATACCTTTGTCCCCCTTGTTAGGAATTTTTACCTTCCTTTCTATTTATAGATCTATCTATATATTCTTATAACTGTTGACCCTCGTTACGGCTGTTCATTCAAATCTCTCAACAACATTTGTATTTTTTTTTTGTACTAAAAGTCGTCCGGTAAAATGTCTTTCTTTGAAAACTTGTCCCTTAAAAGTTGGCCTTCCTTTTTCTAAAGATCCCCTTAGATATGCAAAGTTCGTGAGTGAAGTGGGTGGTCCATTACTATGTTGATTTTAAAAGTCGAGTCTAGAAACGACTAACAGGTTGTACCATTGGATTAGGTGCTCTCTCTCTCTTTCTCTCTCTCTCTTTCTCTCTTTCTCTCTCTCCCTCTCTCTCTCTCTCTCTCTCTCTCTCTTTTTCTCTCTCTCAAGAGTCGTTGCCTTCTTTTCGAATGCTTGTTCAGTGTTCGCTGACGCGCGAAAGAATTTCTTTATGATTTCGTTGCGTATCATCGGCGATCACATCGCATTGTGTATATGTATAGTATAGCTATCGAGCTCGAGGCAAACACACGTGTGTATTGCGTACAATACAATCGAGAAAGATGTGTTTCTTGCTTTTATAAGTACGCTTGGTTATTATGAAATTATCGAAACTGCGTCTGCGATAAAACTTGTCTTCTTTCTCCATACGTTATTCGTTGTCTCTTCTCAAATAAATATCCTTCGTTACTTTGTATATAATAATTGTCTTACGTGCAAATACAGACGCAAGTTCACTCGACAGAGCAACTTGCAACAATGGCATCCAATACTACTACTTGCGCGCTGCACACGACTAATCTAACTGACGTGCAAGGTTGGTATGGGGGGGAAAGAGGTTTATATTCCACGAAGTGCGCCACCAAGCAGAGAAATTTGGAAATAGTTCCGATTGATTTAAATACGTTTGAATTGGCAGGTTTCAATCGAATTTTTTTAATTACAATTTTTTATGTTTTTATGCAAAGAATATAAATAGCATGATCATTTTTTTTTCTACGATATGTCATTTCTTTCTTTGCCAATCATATCGTCAAGAGCTTTGTCCAAACATCGCCTCCTAAACATATACGATAATAGTTGATTAATTAAATCAATTAACATTATCTTCGAAAAAGTTTTCAATTGGTATTAAGTATCAGATATGCGATCATCAATCTGATGTTTTATAATATGTAAAAAACAAATTCATCGTCATACTAACGCTTCTTTTCTAAACGTATGCCAGTCAACGTGTCCAGGTATACACTCGAAAGGATTTTGTTCGTAATCACAGATTCCTAATATGGTCATACCTGTTGTATATTTATTTAAAGAAATAGTATTGCAATCGTCTGGACCAAGCGATCGAAATATACTTCGAATATGCCTACGTCGTTTAAAAATATGAAATAACTCTAGATAAAGTAGAATACGAATATAAATACACACGTCTAGTTACCTTGTTTTAAATAATAATGGTGGCTTTTTCACGCCTGATCTGTACAATATACATTCCTTAAGAAGTTTTTCGAGGTATTGAATTGGATCAGGTGATTCCTCTACGAGAAGATGACCAATTAGAAAATTGAAGAGCTTTGAAATTTGTTTCTCCTCGAGATACGCATGCGCGCGTGCGCGCTCTCGTGTATTCTGCACACAAGTTACAAAATTAATTCAAATTGATGAATTTATCATATAAATAATAGAAAAAATATACAAATTATTATATCCATTTTGAAATGTATTTATATTGAATTGATTTTCTAGACTTGTATCATACTTGTTCTTCCAACATATTTTTATTGGACGAGTATCGTTGATTATTTTTACGTAAAATTGACGATGCTGTTAATGTTTTAACGATATTAGAAGATTTATCAATATCTTTACAACTAATCATTTTTTCGTTATTCACTATATTCCTACAAACGTAAAATTGTAATATATTTCAAACTTCTAGATATTTAATACAAAATAGATAATCAATTTTATCTTTTAGAGTATTCTTTAAAATATATTTAATATATATATATATTTACCTCAAAATTTTGAAAATATTTGACTTTTATATATCCACTGGTAGCTTCGTATTTTTATAGTATATTATCGTTAAAGTTATTTGAACAAATTACAATAATATGATAAATAATGCTGTCTGAATGATGCTGTAATCGTTTTGAAGTTGGTTTCAGTAATGACGTCATTAAAAATTACAGTTGTTCTCAGACCCACAGAGCTGCTGAGAATCGAAAAAGTTTGAAAACCACTGCATTAATATATTTGATAACCTAAGTTCTTATTGGTTCTTATGGATACTTGTAAATACGTGTTTGTAAAGTTGAACCTGATATGCTAGCTTTCAGTGATTGATAGAATTTTTCAAATTCTAATAATTATTTATTTATAAAATTCACTTATTTTAAAAAATATATTTAAAGATTTATGAAAACACAATAATTATTTTGTTTTAAAATGCGTAAAATAAATGTACCCATGTTATTACGATCGCATTGTACAAAATCTATGTACAAAAGTTCTAATGTAATTCGTAAAGAATTTTTAGATTATTATACCAAAGAATTACAACACGATGTTATTCATTCGAGTCCTGTTTCTTTACTAAATGATCATTCAACAGCTTTTGTTAATGCTGGCATGAATCAAGTATATCTATTTCTATATATATATATATACATATATATTTTGAAATCATATGTATTAATCTGTTAATTATTATTTAATATTAAATCTCTATAGTTTAAAGGAATTTTCTTAGGACATTATGATCCCCCTTCAACAAGAGTTGTTAATTCACAAAAATGTATTAGAGTTGGTGGAAAACATAGCGATTTGGATATTGTTGGTAATGATACATACCATCACACATTCTTTGAAATGTTAGGAAATTGGTCTTTTGGAGATTACTTTAAGGTAGATTTAATTATTTTAAATTACTTAATGTAACCGACTTAAAGCCCTATAAATGTGTATATACATAATTTTTTTAACTTTTTACAGGAAGAAAGTTGTCGTTACGCATTAGATTTATTGACAGGTCCATATAATATTAAAAAAGAATTTCTGTATATTACCTACTTCGGTGGTTGTAAAGAATTAGGATTACAACCTGATACACAATGTAAAGATATCTGGTTGAGTCTTGGTATTCCAGAAAACAGAATATTACCATTTGGAATGAAAGACAATTTTTGGGAGATGGGGTTCTCGGGCCCCTGTGGGCCTTGTACAGAGATACATGTAGATATTACAAAGCAATTGGAAAATCAAAGTTTTAAAGTGAATACAGGCCATCCAGATATTATCGAACTATGGAATATAGTGTTTATTCAATTTAACAGGTACATATATTATGTATAGTTCTATAAACTAATTTTTATTTGTCTTTACTTTTTATATAATTTACTATAGACTTACAGATAATCGTGTTATTCAACCATTATCGAAACATCATATCGACACAGGAATGGGATTTGAAAGATTAGTTACTTTACTGCAAGGAAAAAGATCGAGTTATGATACAGATCTTTTTCAACCATTATTTGAGACAATACGTTGCAACACAAATGCTCCTGAATATAAAGGCACTTTTGGAGCTTATGATACTAATGGTATAGATTATGCATACAGAATATTAGCTGATCATGCAAGAATGATCACAGTTGCATTATGCGATGGTGTAATACCAGAGAAAAAGTAGGAAATATTTATTACAATATAAATTCAATGTAACTTTATTTATTTATCTTGTAAATTTATATGTTTAGTCAAAAATTAAGAAGAATATTAAGGAAGAGTATCGATATGAGTGAAAATATATTTAAAAAAAAGGGTTTACTTTTTGAACTTACATACACTGTTGTTGATATCCTCGGAGATGCCTATCCAGAACTACAAAACAATCTTAAACAGGTAATTTTAGTAATCATAAATCATAGACTAAATAATTATTTTATTATAAGATAAAATCTTAATCAGGTCCATAAGATAATAGAATTTGAAGAAAGTTTGTATGAAAGATTATGTAAAACAAGTGGTGAAGAATGGAATAAAATGGTTGCAACTAGACCTGAGTTAGCTTCTATTACTAATTGGATGGCATCAGGACTTGTAAATGGTTACAAAGATCTACAATCTATTTTAAAAAAGGATAAGTAAGCATTATACATAAATATCAAACAATATAACAATATATTAGATTTTTTATTTGTAGTGATTTTTTATTTTAGAATCATATATGCATCTGGTATCTTACCAGGACATGTCTTATTTAAATTATTCGACACTCATGGATTAAGTGTAGAAACAATAAGTGAATTGGCTGCAGTGGAATCTCTCCAAGTTGATAAAAAAGGTTTTGAAAAAGAAATGGATAAGGCGAGGCTTAAATCTAAAGTTGGAATAATTAAAAATCATCATAATATTGAAAAATATTTACAGTTACTTACTGAAAGTAATATACCAGAAACGGACGATTCATTTAAATATGTTTATGAATATAAAAATGACAATTATGAATTTCCAAAACTCAGAAGTGAAGTTATAGGATTGCTCGTCAATGGTATTAACATATATATATATAAATAATATACATATAATTCAAATTAATTAAAAATACATCATTAATTATATATATATATATATATATAACATATAGGCATTACATGTTTCAGGTAATATTATATTAGGGGAAGAATTAAAAACAACTTTGATGAATATTGATAGTAAGAAGAATACAAATATACTATTAAATAACAAAGATGAAATTGCCATCATATTAAACAAAACAATGTTTTACTCATTTGAGGGAGGCCAACATTCAGACATAGGTTCCATTTATTTAAAAGATATGATATTTCAAATAAGTAAAGTCGAGAAAATAAATGGCTACGTTATTCACTCTGGCAAGTTTGTGAAAAATAATCTAGTGTATGTATTTATACTTTTTTTTAAATTCATAGAAAATGAATTATCTCTTTTATACGAATAATCTATTAATTATGGAATATATATTTTTTTCAATAGAAATACTTATTCAGAATTAGAAGATTGGAACGATTGTGTAATTTGTATAGATACAAATGTCCGAACAAGTCATATGAGGAATCATACAGCAACACATTTATTAAATGCTGCTTTAAGGTTTATATTCCCAGTTGTTTATCAACGAAGTTCTTTAATTTCTAAAGACATATTAAAATTCCAGTTTTCTTCGTTTGGAGATAAAATTACATTAACACATTTAGCAAAAATAGAAGAACTTGTTAACAATGTTATAAAAATCAATGCATTAGTAGAAAGTAGGATTATTAATTTGTCGCAATTATTATTAGAAAATAATGTTACAATGATACCAGACGAAATATACCCACATACAGGTATTAGGTTAATCGATATTAATACAAATGAATTAAAATCAAAGTAAGTTATGAGTGGAATGTAACTTCTGATCATTTTCATTGCCATTATAATTGACTCGTTAACACAGAATATTAATCTTTTTAGAGAACTATGTTGTGGAACACACGTGAAAAGCACAGGATCTCTGGAACACTTTTGTATTTTAAATTATAGTTCTAAAGGTGTATTGAACTGCACTATTCATGCCATTACTGGGCCATTAGCTAAAGCAGCTGAATTAACTGGTAAAAATTTATTGGATCAAATTGTAAAATTAGAAAATTTAGTTAATACAAAAAATATTAAAAACGATGAGTTAAACTTACAAATTAAAGAGATACAAAAGCAATTACAAAAAAATACTGATACTGCAGACCTACCATTATCTTATCTTATAAAAGAAGAATGTAATGCTAAGTTGCAAAATTTGGTTGAAATAGCTGTGAAACAGAATATAGCAACAGAAAGGTAGATATCAAAGTTGTAAATATGTATACTATTTTTCATTTCATTAAATCTTTCTGTTTCTTTTTTAAGGTCTTCTATAGTAACAGAAGTGAAAAATTCTATGAAACCAAGAAATTCTTTCATTGTTTATCATTTACAATGTACACCAAAACATCTTTCCTTACAGGATATACTATCTTTTTTTCCTAATATACCAATACTTGTGATATCATATGATAAGAATGTCATTAAAGCTAGTTGTAGTGTACCACAGGTAAAAACATCAATTTTATATTCAATTATATATAAAGTACTTTGGTATTTTATGATAATAAATAATTATTTAAAATTACTTTCATTTATAATTATATACATTCGATTAATTTATTCTAGGAGTTTCTATCCGATACATTCAATGCTCAAACATGGATGAAAGTTATTTTTCAAGTTCTTAATCAAAAATATAATGAAAACAAAGGTAAAAATTCTTTAAAAACAACTCACGCAAAATTTAAAAATATATCTGAGCAACGTGCAAAGAAGTTGATAGAAATTGCAATCATAGCAGCTACGGAATATGTATCTATTTTGATAGATGAGAAAAAAGTAATTACAGAAAAAAATTAATAAAAAACGAAATAGACTTTATGTAAGATAAATTTACATATCAAATGATTTAAAAATTGAAATATAAAATATTATATATAGTATTTCTGTATTTATATTTTGAGAATACTATGCTTTATTAAATTATCTCTTTGCATATTATTTGTAATTTACTTTTTACCTTTGTTGTTGATTTTTTACATGTGTTTCATAAAAAAGTCTTAATGAATGCCATTGGGCTCTGTGAAGTAATATATGTCTCCTTTTACTTTTCATATAATCCACTGCTTCTTCAGGAATCCAACCATTTTTCTGAAGATGAATATTTTATGTGAAAATACAATTTACATTTGGATAAATTTATATTTTTTATATAATATTGATTTATCGCATATCATCTAACCATCATTAAGTAACATCCAACGAGTGTTGCACTACGTGTTCTGCCTGCTTTGCAATGGACATAAACTGTTTCTGACTCTTTGAGATTATTATGATTATCATTATTCAATTTTCTGTTCGTGCTTCGAAATTTATTTATAAAGTCTACACCGGTTTTTAATTTTGTCTGACAAGGTGCCTCAAAAATATCTGTTGTTGATAGTTGTAGAAATTCGACATTATATTTCTTCCATTCCTAATAACAATGTCAAGAATAAAAGACAATATTAAACAAAAAAATATGTTAAATATAAAAATGATATTATTTAATATAAATCTGTATTAACCAGTTAGCTGGAATTGGTAGTTTGTACCTTTTCTGAATTAGATAGTAAGAATAGTTCATAATCCTCGTTCATAGAAACTACCGCTTTCAAGTTTTCTTTTTCAATTAACTGTAACATTGTGAACGGAATAAATAACGAATAAAAACAAAATATCTGTTTAAGTAAAAAGTAAAAAATAAGTAATAAAATAATAAAAATAGATATACCTGTTTTGACATAGTTCGAAAAGGCAATGCACCCAAAATTACAGTCTCGTCGATTCTATCATACCAATTTCTTGACGTTATTTTTTCCATAAATATATTGTATAATAACGTCGGGTAAAATGTCATTCTCGCGAACATTTTAACTACAAGCAAATTAAAATTTTTGTACGAATTAAAAAGTAGCACATACACTTTATTTAAAGTCCTTAAGTTGATAAAAATAAATTGCAAAATTGTTATGCTTATATGTTATGCTTACATGCTTATATGCTTACGCATTAAAAATGAATTTTTAAGATAAAAATAAAAAGTAATATTAACTGATAAAAGCAACGACTTTTATATCAAATTTGACAAGATAGTAACTCGTAATTATACAAGAACATTTATAAGTAGGCTTTGCCCCACTACAAGAAGAGAAAGTAACAGTACTTTAAAACATACAACGAAGAAAAGAGGACGTCTGTTATTTATAGTCGATTTTGACATTTATTTGTGATAAAGTATATAAAAAAATTAATATATACCCTATTAAAAATTGTTAATCTTTGTAAAAAGAAATATACATCAAAAGGAAATAAATATTGTTTCTTTTCTATTACTTTTTTATATTACGTTGGTTTTGTCCTTCTTTCAATTATATATTCTGTGACAAAAGAAGTAGTAAGTAATGTAATATTATTCTCATTAAAAACTGGTTATTATATATTCTAATTTATATTATTTTCTTATGGTATAAAATAAAAATTATCACCAGCACGCACATACAGTACTTCTATATATAACCATTATTACATGTATAATAATACGTAGTGGTGCAAATATAAAATAATTAATAAACATATCTGTTTAATAATACCATATTTACTTATATTAAGAAATATGATCCAGTTTTTGTAGAAAAAACTTGCTTAATTTTAGATTTAAGAATTTACATTAATAACACTTTCTATTTATTTATAACTAATTATATAATTTGTCGTTATCATTTTTTAAATATGAGATTTATCTATAAAATTAATTTTTACTAGATAAATTTATCCTCATCTAAACAAATAGGACCAAATTCTCCCTTTCTAAACATAGCAATAAAATGTTTAGCAGCAATTTCAAAATCAGGTTTAACAATATATTCATTATTACAACGTAGTTTTAACGTTCTTCCTAGTTTAGCAGCTATAAAAGTAAGAATGTAAACGATATCATCATTTGGCTCAGGCAAACCTAATTTTTCCACATACTCATATTTTTTATATTTATTTAAAGAGAAAAGCAGAAAATCAGCAACTGTAGTATATCCTACCAAATGATCTTGTAAGCAACCAATCAAAGCTAATTTGAGACCGCAATTTATATTATTTACGTGAGGTGCTAAAATACCTGGAGTGTCCAATAAAAAGAAATCTGGATTTTCAGATATTTTTATATGAGTTAGTACGGACCGTGTTACTCCTGCTATAGGTCCTTCTTGTGTAGCTTTTGCTTTTTTTAAATGAGTATTTCTTAAACGATTGATTAAAGAAGATTTTCCTACATTAGGTATACCGATGATCATCATCGCAAAAGACTCTTCATTACTTCTATTATATCGTTCAGAATTTAATATTAATTTTTTTGCCAAAGGTAATATCTTTTTCATTCCCTTACAAGTAGAATCTTTGAAATTAGTAAAAAGAATATTAGACAATCCTTCATTCTGTAAATGAGATACTATTTGCTTCTTAAATTTTAAGTCTGCCAAATCAATCTTATTTAACACAAAAATATGTGGTTTTAAACCGGTCAAAGTACGACGAAAATCTGCTTGACGTCCTGAAACTGGTACTCTAGCATCATGTACTTCTATTATACAATCAACATTCTTCAAACGTTGTTCCATTTGCTTTAAACCTTTATCCATATGTCCAGGAAACCATCGTAAAGTTTCTTTGTTAACTAGTTTAAATGTTTCTCGAAAAGTTGTTGCTACTGTACCTCCTATATCCTTCATTTTTGCTCAACTTCTTAATAATCTTCTAACAATATTATGAAAAATATCCTGTAATATAAAATTAGTAAAAAATATTATTCAAAACATGGTTATTTGTCTAAATTAAGTGTTGAATTTTTATAAATTTATAATTTAAATATAAAAATAATATTAATTTAAAATCTAAATGAAAACATAAATATTTATTATTTATTATGCAACCTGGGATAATATTAATATAATATCAATCATAGATTAATAAATAAAAATTTTAAATATCCTACAATATAAACCACGCACGTATTTACATACGTTTTCAGGTTAAATATAATACATAGCTCAGAAGTCCCCTTTTTTACCTATCAGTTTCATTTTTGTTACTACCGGGACCACCAGTGGGCAATAGTAGATATAATACTTAACGCGATGACGGTACAATACTATCAAAGAATACTACAATCGTACACTATTCTTTGATAGTATACGATAGTATATTATATATTCTTTGATAGTATAAATAAAGTATAGTTCTATTTTAATAAAATTTTAAATAAATATATTTAATTTTTAATGTATAAACACACACACACATGTGTGTGCCTTCAGAAATACATTTATACGTATATTTTAAAATGAAGCAATTTAAGACACTCAAATAAAAAAGAATTCAGAAGAAGAATTCATAAATCCAACGATGATCACCTGTAACAAGAAGAAAATTATATTAGTCATACAGACACAAATGATACAATAGCCTGACATATAAATCGTCCAATTCGCAGATGCACTTTTTAATTGAATTCTATATATATATTTTGATTAAATCTCTATTAATCGTTGTAATGAAATTTAATTTAAACGCGCGATTTTACATTTACATAAAATAAATAAAAATAAAGAAATAGAAAAAGTGAAAATACTAAGTTACTAAAAAAAATAATATCTATTAATTATTGTGAAATACTTTTAAACTGCATTATATAGAACAGAAAAATTGTAAATCTAATAAAATACGATTACAGTGAAAAAAAATTTTAAAGACGAAACAAGAAAAAAGAAATTACTGTAATATTTACCGAACGTTATTTAAGCTTGAAAATTTAATAATAGGAAAATTTTAATATTTTTGACTCTAACTATATATGCATCTTTTAGACGATATAGACACGAATTTGGTGTCTTAAGCAGATGGAATGGTCCATCATTTCCAATTACAACTACAAATTAATGACGAGCAAAAAAGTAATATAATAAAATATAAAATATGACTAGAGAGCTATTCTCGAAAAGTTCAAACTTACTGTGTTGAACTTTTGAAAATAACTCACTAGCTCAATAGTAGTTGCACTCTTCAGCCACAATTAAGTGGGGGCCTGACATAATGCCTCTTCTTTCTTCATGCCCTAAACTCTGCTGTGAGGCTTTTTCTAAGCGCATTTTACAATACAAATCGTACAGTTACATTTACTCGAATGCCCCAACAGATATTTGATCTAATCGATGAACCTATTATTAATACTTTGCATTAAAGAAATAAAATAATACGAAACAAGAGCAGAAACTATGTGATACATCATATGGTCTTACTTTTTTACTCGACCACTTTTATCGTTTATCTTTACTCTACTTTTTATTTATTATACATATAAAACAAATGAAGTATTCAGTAGGAATTAATAAAGAGCAAAACGTTAATATAATTAATATTAAGTAAATATCTAACGTATTCAGCTATCTTCACTTTTTGGAAAAAGAATTAATTTTTAAGAAAACGCAAAGACTTTTGAATCGTTCGATACTGATTTATATCTCGCGGTACAGAGTATCAGCAATATATGGAAAAAATACAAGAAATATTTAAATGATAAATGAATCTAAAGGGGYTGCTGAAACTTTGTATAATATTCGGAGAAGAAATTTTCCACTCCTGAGAGGAAATTACAATTACGCGACTTCTCCGGTCTCTAHCTACTTACAAATTAAATAAACATTCACACCTAAGTATGCTACTTGCTTTTATATTGGCACTATTTAAAAAAAACAAGCGTACATACATACCCACCCACTAACTTCATGATTCTCTCACATACCACCAAGGTGCAAAAGCCTAAACTAGAGAGCATGTCCCGGGGCACCTCCGACACCCTAGTTCAAACGCGTGTTTTCTAAACTTATGGGAGTACGTACCAATGCTGTAATCGACTGCCAAGGCTAATGATAATTGCAAATATGACTAAGTCCAAAATACTAGTACATACTAGTATATATGCATACTAGTAATATACGAATATATCAACGTTTCCACAAATAAATGCAGTAACACTAGTATTCCAAACAATTTTATTACAAAAAAAAAAATTGAAAATCTTAATATAAATTTAAAAATACAAATATTGGTATTTTTCATACCAAAAATGACTCTAGAAGTAGTATTCCGAGTATTAAATGATGGATTAATTAGAAACAATCGCGAAACGATGTACAATGCACACAGGTGCAATGTACACCGTGCAATCACTAGAACAATAACAGCCGCCAATAGGGGAATAACTTAAAACAAAACCCACATTAACTGTTTCTCACCCATACGTGTAACACCTGGGCACACGCATAGATGAGAACGCAGAAAGTTTTGGGGGGGAGAAACGGGAGATTAGTATATTAGAAGCTGAAAATCCTAATCTAAAAAACCTTTTAGACTAACCTTTTAACCTTTTAGATACTACACGCCACTATAGTGGCTTTCGCGGATATCATTTTTCAGGACGACGCGCCACTATAGTGGCTTTCGTGTATGTCATCTCTCTGAACGACGCGCCACTATAGTGGCTTTTCGTGGTTTTCTAGAAAAACGTTACGAAATTGTATAGTGTGTTCCAAAAACGATACTAGGCGTATAATGCCTCGTATCGAAATTGTGACGTAGGTTTATGTATTGTACCATATTTCAAAATCTATCATACTTAATTATATTATTAGTTATTAAAGTGGAATGTTATAGTTAAAGTATGTGTAATATATATTTTTAAAAAATTATGACTTAATCATCAAATACTTCATTTGAATGCTCTCGTGCACAGAACAGAATTGCCCGCCACACTTTGCAGTGTTATATCAATTATACGTTGTTCACGTCAGACCCTGCCGTCCAGGGAAATAGCCACACGCAGAATTCAGCCGTATCTAAAAGGTTAAAAGCACATAAATACATAACATATAACTACATAATACATAAAGACATTTTTATAAAAATTTATCTAAGCGGCTGAGGACTCTACAATTTATTTAGATTTGTCATTTTGATTATGTAAGAATTGTTAAATTTAATTTTTTAATATTTACAAATTTTAAAAGAAAACAATAAATATATATAAAAAACTTCGGACGACTCCTTTCATTAAGTTGGCTGTTTTAATAAAAGAACTGGGTTTTGAGCCACCACTTAACTGCTAGAATCTATCTGTCGCGATTGGGGTTGTCTTCTTGCTCATTTATTTATAATATCGAAGTATCGATATATCAAAATTAATCGCGATTAGATAAACTAAGTACGAAGCAATGCATGTAATA